AGTCCCCAAATTCTGAAACTTTACAACTTGATCACTAACCCGGTATTGAGGATGTTACAAATCTCCCCTCCTTATAAGAAAATTCGTCCTCGAATTTTCACTGCACATCTTAATAGGAACATCTCTTCTAATGTTCTTATGTTGCTTCCCTGACTTATTCTTTCTTGTCATCATCAGAAACTTACCTTTTTAATCCTTTAGTTTTCCGACTATCTTTTTCATTTATACCTTCATCTTCTGTTGTTTATTATATAAACAATAACCAGTAATACCAATCCATTGTTGTCTTTTCTCTCATTCGATTATGCATTTTTCCTTTGACCTTTCTAAAATTCCATATAATGTCACTCATCACGTTGACAGTAACATTCATCTCATCACTTTATATCAAAACTGTCCTCTGTACTTCCACATTTATCGTATCTGATTCTTTTAAATCAATCCCTTTCATTTCTTTACTCCTTATTCATTATACATAAATCATATATTTCCTTCCTGAAGGTCCCATGCAAATACTTATCTCTGTTTCTACATCATAGCTATCTGCTCAGAATATACAACTATATTCAAATTCACATTATAATCAATTAACTCCACTATATATATCCTCCAATCTTATAACTCTAGCACCTTTACTCTGACAGCTAGATAATAAATTTTGTTCAGTCTAGGGCACAAGCCCTCTTATACCAATCATATACATTCTTTCCAATCTAAATTATCTCAACATTCGCTTACTCAACTTATCAATTTCACCTCTATTCTCATACATCCTGAAATTTCTTTTACTCAAACTCAACATTCTGACTTCATGTGTCCTATAATCTGATCATCGATATACATATTCTCAAACTCTTCTTATCAATCCTCAGCTTTACTTAAATATACAAATTCTTACTTCATTTTCCTTTACTATATCACATTACTATGATCCAAATATGCAACTATATCCAGATCCATTTCAGATTTGGTTCTCATATCCTGACAATATCTTATAATCTTATAAATCCAGTACATTTTTATCACATACTCTGGTTAGCCAACGCTAACTCTTTCCATCTAAACTGCAAACCCTTATCATAAACATACTCTTGTTTATGCGCAATACTATCACTTCGTTTCAAACTCATAAGCTCTGACTTTATACATCTTATACACTTGTCACTGATGCACTTATCCTTGAGTTCTTCTATACGTACTCATCACGTCATTAGATCTTTTTAACATTCTTATGGTGACACATGTTCACCATATTCTATCTTATTCACATAATAACAAAACTACTCTATATCGTTTTTCCGATTCCAAACGATGAAAATTTTCATCATTATTCAGATATGATTTCAACTTTCTGAAATCAACTTTTGATCTTACTAGGCATTTCCTGAGGTGTCCGCTCTTCATCCTGCCTGGCCAGGGCAAGTGAATAGCTATCACAATCAGGAATATCACCTTTCACTTACTTCGAAATTATCACGATCGGATTTCTACTGTATTAAACTATTCTTATTCTATTAGCAAGACAACATACTCCTTACACAATCAGATCAGAAATTTTTCAATCTATGTTGGCATGTACACCTTTTATGACACTTTAGACTTCGGTTTATGCCGAGAATCGGCTAAACCTTAGCTCTGATACCATTAAATGTAACACCCTCAACCCGTATCCGACCCGGATACAAGTCCGAAGTGTCACATTGACTTTTTAAACATTTATTCGTATAAAATAGTGGGTAATTTAAAAACTTTGATAACATTTAAATTATTTCAAAACGTTTACAACCGATATCAGAGTTCATACCATTTATATCTTTAGACTACATGCCAACTACACTCTGTAAACAGTACATACATTTTCTGATCTGACATTTGGTAAGGAAAACTGACCTGTCTTGCTCCGCATTACTCTTTCCTCTTCTCGAAACCTACGTGTGAAACAATCACACGCTAAGTCGAAGACTTAGTGAGGCATAACGACTTACAATGCACTTCATAACATATATCAATACATGCATGTTCTGTTCTATCATGTTATACCAATTCCATGCATTCTTCGTATCATATAAAATCATATCAGATTAATTACAGTAAATACATACAGACACATAATTCATCATTAACAGTTTATCATGTAATCACATACTTTTATTGTTAACCTTTTCAGTCAAACACTATACACACACAACATCATATGGTTCACGTAACACATTTCAAACCACTTATAAACCCATCGTATACATATCACATTCAGTATGCTTGTTTAATCACTTTATTAGCCCATGTACACTAGTGAGAACTTAAGGTATGTGAGTACATTGAGGTTGTGCACATTTATGCTGTCACCACAGCTCGATCAATGTCCCGAAGGACCAGTCCATAGATTCCGAAGAACCTAGGTAATCAGTCCATATGTCCGAAGGACATAGGTAAACAGTCCATATGTTCCGAAGAACATAGGTAAACAGTCCATATGTTCCGAAGAACATAGGTAAACCCTCGACCCTTGGCATGCCAACTATACCCCTAGCTCTCATATCACATAACATGGGCATTATCATTTATAACAGTTCACATTACTTATTCATATTCTTTCTCTTATAACCCCATATCTTTTCTTTTCAGTCACGTATCACATGTACGTGTAATCATTGATCTCATAACCACATGTTCCTTCTTTTCTGTCACATACCACATGTATGTGTAAACATATATCTAATATCATATGTTGCATGCAATCACATAGATCTTATCTCATAACATATACTTGTAGTCACATAGCTTCTTTTCATATTCTCATAGGATCACATAGTTCATATCTTATACTTTGTTTTCTCATGTTCACATATATCATGTCATATGGCTCATATCTTTCTCATGCAGTCACATAGTTCAGTTTCACATATGTTCATATATATATACATTACATAGCACATACTTCTCATAACCTTACATTCAAAAGCATGTTAACACATATAATCATGCATACATACAATTCATGTCATTCATATACGTATAATCATATATTCATGCATTCTAACAGAGGAAATAGACTTGTCGCAAGTCTTGTTTCCATTTTAGCACCATAAACTAATTAATATGCACTCACCTGGCCTCACTAGTCAATTCCAATCTCTTATCTTTCCCCTTGATCGATATTACTTGCCAAACGTTCCGGAATTCTTTATGCGTAGAATCTACATAAATGTACATTTCGAGGTAATCATTAGATACCTACACCTTGTAATTGGATACTAGCAACTCAAACTAACTTATTAAACCAATATTAACATTTTTCTTTAGGGGGAATCGGTTCCCTACCATGGGGTATCGATTCCCTCGAGACATTCTGGAATTCTGTCGTTTGAAGGGGTATCGGTTCCCCTTGAATGGGTACCGATTCCCCTTGCCCAGAAATCATATTTCAGCCCGAAAATTACCTCATTTCCTCTCAAACACTTCATATATCATCCCCTTTTTCATTCTTAACTCTAGCACACATACTTAAACCAATTTATATTCATTTATTTCATCTTAAACCTCAAAATCCTATATTCCATATGAGATTCAAAAATCATACCAAATTTTCAATGTGTTCTAATTCCAATTCTAACACTTCATACTTCTTAATTAGATTGATGACAAGTCAAATTCATCTATAAAACTTCAACAACCATACCATATCAAAATTTCATCTTAAAACTCATATGGCAAATTCCTTCATAATTCCTTTATCTTATTGTTTAAATCCCATATAAGCTTTCCTTAAGCTTATTTAATACCCAAAGAATCAAAACTAAGCTTAAAACTCAAGAATTAACCAACTGAAATTAAACTTACCTTTGCCTTGCTCTCCCACGTATGAAGAAGAAGAAAGGAGAAGAGCACTCTGGATGGTTCTCACCCATCCCACGTTTATATTACCCTTAAAAAGGAATATAAAAATCTTTCTGGTCAAATGACCATTTAACCCTTAATTTCCTTTAATAATTACTAATTAACCTTCATCATATATATCCAATAAGCATTGAACTATTTCATTCTTATACTTTAGTCCCCAAATTCTGAAACTTTACAACTTGATCACTAACCCGGTATTGAGGATGTTACAATTTTGACCTTCATTTTCACTAAAAACCCTTAGATTTCCGTAGATCTAGGAAAACCGAAGCTTTTACCTCGGTTGGAACAACGTCTCCGACGACGATTGGGCTCTCCTCCGTGGTAAGTCCTTCGGCCTCTTCTTCTTTCTTCCTATTTTTTTTTTTTGTCAATGGTTATTGTGGGTTCGTCGATGGCTCCTCGTTCTCCCTTCTTGTTTTTTTGTTTCTGCCTTTTCGGTATCTCTCCGTTGCTCTGTCTGTTTTTTGGTATTTGTTGCTTGTTGTCTGTGTCTCCCTGTTTTTGTTTTGCAGGTGTGGTGGCTTTTATAGCCACCACCGAGCTCGCCTTGGATCGGATAATAGAGCTCTTGGCGGTGAGTCACCTAGCTATGGTGGTGACTCACCATAGGGCTTCGACGTGGGGCTGCTTCTAGAGTATTTAGCGAGACGACGGCGTGGTGGCATCATCGGAGTTGAGCACCTGGCAGTGGCGTGGCCTTGGCAGCGGCGTATGGAAGCTGGAGAGGCGGTTGGAGTCTTCTGGAAGCAGCGACGGCTGGGACGTGGCCCTAGGGTTATGATACCCTAGGGTTTCTTTTCTGGACTGTATAAGGGTCGTTAGATCAGATTAGATCCAACGGTTGAGGATATGCGATGGCTGGGTGTTGAGATAGAAACCCTAATTAGGTTTAGGGTTATAATTGGGTTATCTAGGTTTTGATTTATAAATGGGCCTTTGGGTTCTGATTTGGGCTTGTAAATAATAATAGTATTTAATAATCATAATATTTATAATAATAATAATAATAATAATTTTAATAAAAATAATTTAAGTAAAATGAAAAATTAGTGTTTATAGAACGTACAATTGCAGCACGCAAAAGGGAGGTCCTCTTTTCCTTATTGAAGAGTCTTCTGGTGTGGCTTTTCATCATTAAATACTAACCCCTTAACCTACCAACTCAATTCACTTGCTTTAAAATCTTAGCCTGTGAATTAAGGAACCCTAAAAAATTAGTCTTACAGACGCCCGAGAAAGAATCTCATTCGATGGTATACTTTTGAACCTTCGATGGAACCCAGAAGCAACAAGAATGGCTTCGAGTATCCGAAATATTCACCTTCTAGTTCACAGTTTCCTTCACGTGCATTGATTAGACTGTGAACTCCAGTCATCGAGAAGGTTTGTTATGGTTTCTTGTAACTTCTTCGCCTGAGGTCCAGGCTTTAGGACGTTTACATCACCCCATTGCGTGCAAGGATCCGACCACCAGCTATTCCGGCCGGTGCACCAAGCCCCTGGGGCAACTTGGTTTCGTCCATTACGCTTGAGGATCTTTTTGTCAACCATGTCCAACAGAGGTTCGTGTTTTTTAAACTGTCTTGCCAATGCTCCTCCACTTTGAGCCATTTGATCATAATCCAAAACATTGAGGAAGTGGGGTTCCATCTTTGGAGGATTGTCCCAGATCATATATCTTAAATCACTGTTTACGGTGGTGTTCTTGAACTCTGGGGAATTGCATATGACGGAATGGAAATAGCTTTCTTCAGATAACATAACATTGTTGAAATACATCAGAAGGATCTGCTTAAGATGACCCATGGGGAGCCTGAATTCAATACCAAAATGTAAATAATAAGCATCTCCAAAGAAAATAACAGTTGTAATATTTTTTTATATCACACACAACAGACCAACATTGGTAATAGACTTTGCCTGTGAATATTTTAAAAGCATCCGGCATTGGTCGTTTCTCGGTAGCATGAAAAAATTCGGTCCTCCTAGCTAGGTAAATCGCTGGATCAACTACAATAGGCTGGATCCGTTGACCTCTGCAATCAAAAGTAAACCGGTATGCATTAGATTTCTATTACAACTTGCACTGGAAGGATATAAATGATTCATGAAAAGGGTTTTCCCTACCCTTTCCACCCAAGGTCACTAGTATGATCAAGGAAATTGAGGTCCCGCCTAACCGAGGAGAATACATGAGACAAATCTGCGATAAAACAAAACAAAAAAAAGAGTCGATACATTTACGAATAAAAGTATGCAAGGCAAAAGAACGGGTGTGAAGACACCAAATTTTTTAACATTATATAATATATTTACATTATAATTTATATATATATATATATTTTTTACATATGGTGCATGCATATTTACACACAAATCTGTTACATTTGCAGGCCTGCTACACGAGGCCCAACTGTACACAACCCAAACGTAGGAGTCCAAACGTGTGGGGTTTTCAGAAACCCTAAACATATGCTCTCAAACCCTAGCCTCGTCAGCGCCGCTTCAGCTACCTTTTCACGCGGCCAACACCGAGTTTCACGGCAAGACTCCCATCACCGCACGTCTCGCCTTCAACGACCGGGACTCTCGGCCACGCAAAGAAATAAACAACAAACAACATCAGTGTTTTACTTTAATTTAAACTCTAAAAATAGCCATTGTTTTGGGCTATAAATATTATGTAAAGCACACAAGTTTAGGAGGAGATTACTGCGAATACACACAGAAAGTCACCATAGCAAGCACAAAGAAAGTCAGAACACTTGTACAACATTTCGAAACAAGAAATAAAAGCGAGGTATATTAGTTGTTTACCTTTTGGTTCGCTTGATCCTTTGCACGTCAAATTTATCGTCCATCGTGTTGTTTTGAAAAAAATCTTTTGGCCGATGAAAAGGTGTTTTCGTTCGAGATCGTTTTGTATAGATCTACGAAAACCCGAGGCCTATTTCAAAAAAAAGGTTTGAGATTTGAGTCAAATGAGAGAAAGGCTTTTAGAAAAACCAATTTTTTATGGGTTTGCCGCCGATGATCGGTGGCCGGCGCCGACCAACGGCGGCCGGCGAGGCGGCGTGTGGCCATGTCTGGGATTTTACGGCGGCGTGTTCTTCATTTCTGAAGAACACGCATGAACAGATGAAGGAAACGAGAGAAAGAGAGGAGAGCTCTCGGGCGAGGAAGGGAGAAATGAAGAGAAAAAAAGGTTTTTGGGCTTTATACATAGCCCGTGCGGTGACCCGCGCGTCAACCCGACCCGGGGAAGGATCCGCGTGTTTTGTTAAAAGGGGTAAACTTCATTTTGGCTCCCTCTGTTTTGAAAAACATTCAATTTGGTCCCCAAACCGGTTGGGTAAACTTCATTTTGGCTCCCTCTGTTTTAAAAAAACGTTTAATTTGGTCCCCAAATCGGTTAATTCCCTTGGTTATATTCTGATTCTGCCATCTAACTTTATTTTGTTTCATTTTACCCCTTTATACTCATATATTTTATTATATCTCGTATTTACTCTTTTATACATAGATATTTGGATTTTTTATTTATTTACACTATAATATATTATATTCCTATTAGTTTATATATATACATTACTTATTTTTCTTTTATTACATGCTATTTATTATATATATATTACTCATATTTGCTTTTTTTTATTTTCTTTGTTTTTATATTTTTTATGGATGTATATTTTTTACCTATCTATTTATATTTTTATATATTTTTTTCTTTTCTATTAATACTTTTTGTTGAGTTTCACAAATTATTATATTCGTATATATTATTTTTAATTTAACTATTACTATTATCTTCTTTTTACTAATTTATATATATATATATTTACGTTATTATTATTATATATGTATACTTTTTTTTCATTGATTATTTTGCTTAATGTTATATTTTATATATATGTATATATACATATATATATATGTATATACTTGTAATAGTTTATTTATATATCTATTATTATTATGTGTACATTTCAAACATTTTATTCGATTACCTTTTTCTTTACTTTGTTTTTATTTCTTTGATGATTATCTTTTTATTCATTGTAATTTATTTATCCGTTGGTTGTATGTAGATTATCAATGTTTCATTTATTTATTTTACTCTGCTTATTAACCCTTTTTTTCACTATTTTTATCTTCACTCTTGTTTCCCTTATTTTTCATTTTTTTTATTTTCGTTCTTTAACGTCTGTATTGTTAAGGGAATTTCAATCAATCAAGGGTAAGTAGTTCAGATCGATGTTTTACCTTTTTAGTTTAACTTTCAATTATCTTAATTAAAGACAACTGGAAATTACATAGTACCGAAAGGGCAGTTCAAGGGTGCTAATCCTTCCTTGGCTGTAATCGACTCCCGAGCCCGACATATTTCCGGTAAGACGCAGATCAGGTAAGATGGTGTCCGACCCACCTAAAATTCGTTTTAAAGTGGTCGGTGGCGACTCCAATCCACATTTTTCAAGTCGAAGCCCAATTCCGGGGCCCAACCGAAAGACGGTTGCGACAGCTTGGCGACTCCGCTGGGGACCAGGTAAGTGAGTCAGGCTAAGGTAATTTCCAGTTGTCTTTTTAACGAAAATAGTAAGTTTAAATTTTAAGGTAATATTTCGATCATTTTTACTTACTTTTGATTATATTTTCAAGTAAATAGTTGGACTAATCGTTTTCTCATGATTTCAGCCTTCAAAGTTTTTTTCATCTAAGGCTCTATACCCGAGCTCCAAACCCTATTTTAAGTGGGGGTGAAAGCGACGCCTTCGTGTGAATTTATTCACCGTGCGGGCCTAGCAAGTAGCCTTCGGGATTCATATACCTTATGTCTTCGTGTGAATTTATTCACCGTGCGGGCATAAGGGAATGTGTCCCCTCGAGTTTAACTTAGTCCATACAAGTCTGTGATGGGTTTAGGACTAAGGGTCTGGCAAGCCCAAGGGGGCACCGACAAGGAGAACTCGGGTACCGTTTTTTTAAAACCTAAACCGGGAGACCATGAAGAATTAGAGCCTACCCCGAAACCACGTTCCAAAACTTAGGATATTTTTACCCTAACCATGTTTTTGTTACGTTTTTTCCTTCCGTCATTTTTTTATTTGTATTTTTTATTTTACTAACGTTTTTTCCTTTGTGTTTGTTTTCTAGCATTTGCATCATTACAAGAGGCTATTGATCCCTAAAAAGCGTTTGTTATACACAAAATAATTCGAATTAATGGACAAAGGTGTTGTAATACAAGAGATTGAAAACGCTGAGGCACGACTATGGTCCGAGAAGGCTCAGAAAGAGAAGGGAGACAGTCTTCAGGGAAACTATGTGTCAGAACTGGTTAGTTATGCCGCTGTCAGCCTGAAACAGAATAATGTCCAAGAGCTGCGAAACATTTGGGACAGTTGGAAGAATGACAGAAAGCAGAAGTTCAACCAACGGTATGGTGATATCGCCCTCTTGCTCCATGTCAAGACTGATGAGCCCTTACTCCGAGCATTAATTCAATTCTGGAACCCTGGATATAGTTGTTTCACCTTTAATCAGGAAGACATGGTGCCTACTATCGAAGAGTATACTACTCTACTGCACTGCGAAAGCATCAAACTAGAGAGGGCATATATTAAACATATCAAGAGTCAGCCCTTCAAGAACGGACTGGCCAGGATTGCAGGGGTTGATGAAAAGTGGGTGATTGATCGACTCCGGCACAAAGGTAGCGGGGAAGGAATCGAGTGGATCCATATAAAGTAACTAATGAAAAACCACCCTGATGAGTGGAAGACTATAGACCTTTTTGCACTGGGTCTGTACGGTTTGATCATATTTCCGAAGGTTTTGGGGTGCATTGACGCTGCCGTGGTGGAACTATTTGAGCAACTTTCTAAACGAGTTAACCCAGCACCAGCCATCTTGGCCGAGACCTTTCGATCGCTCAACCATTGCCGAAGAACTGGCGGAGGAAGATTCACCGGGTGCATTCAGCTCCTTCAGGTCTGGATTCACAGCCACTTCTGGAAGACTGACGGGGTTGCCTATCGCCGTTTCAGCACCACCTATTCACCTCTAGGTGAATTTATTACCTTAAAATGGCATGAAGGCGCTTCGAAAGAAAAATGGATGAAGGTCTTTACGCATCTTCAAGACCGAGATATTGTCTGGAGAGCCCCTTGGTTATTCCTCAGTGATGTTCTTTTTCGATGTGGTGACTCTGACACTGTGACTTTACTTGGACTTTGGGGAGCAGTCGGGTACGCTCCGTTATTAGCACTTAGACAGTATGGAGCGCGTCAGTTTGTCCCAGCAACATGCGGGTTAGCTAGGTCAGAATTTGAGTATCATGGCGACAGCTATAAAAAGATGATCAAAGAAGCAGCCGATTCGTGGAGGAAAGTATTCCGGATGGATGTTGTAGCTGCCAGAAGCATGCTCACTCCGGATTATGTGGAGTGGCGAAGATTGAGAAAGAATGACAACATCCCTGTGCCAAACTGTGATGACACCCGGACCATGGAGGAACATCTCAGGCATGTCCCTTCTGAACTCGAAATAGCCAGGACCGAGTTTGAAGCCGTGAATAAGGAGCTGAAGCAAAGGATAAAGGAACTTGAAGCTGAACGTTATCAGTGGAAGCTTGATGCTGACTCTCAGAAAGATCGGGCAGAAAAACTGGAAAAAGAACAAAAAAGAGTCTGTTTTGAGCTCGAAGACTTGAGAAAGGGGTATCAAGATAAGGTCAAGGATAACTCCAAGTTGAAGGTAACCTCTGAATACTGGAAAGACGAAGCTCATAGCCTGAAAAGGAAGTTCGAGGGGCCTGATGAGAGAGCTTGGAAAGAACAAACAAAGACTGCCCAAAGACGCTTGGCAGATAGTCAACATCAGAACCAACGCTTGAGAGTTCGGGTAGCTGACTTAGAGAAACAGCATGAGAAAGATGGCAAGACGATAGCTGAGTTAGAAGCTATTATAGATGGATTCAACAGGCAAGCAAACGAGCTTCAGATGGTGCCTTTCGACGGAGGACTACAATGGCGTTTCCGTTGGGAACAAGCACAACGAAGGGTGAGGGCCCGAGACGCAACCATCCGAGATTTCCTGGATCAAGTGCAAAAAGCAGCTCGTCATCTTCACGGCCTAGCAAGGGAAGCTGGTGTGGTTCGACAAGGCATTCAACCAGTGACAGATGAAGGCAGGAGACTCGTCAACCTACTGGAAGCTGTTCGGGGTCTAGAGGATTTAGTCTGAATGTACCTTTAATCTGTCTTTATGTCTCTAAAAAGATAAAACATTCTTGTCTGAATAAGGATTATTTATAATAATGAACACTTTTCTGGATCAATGCCTCCAATTGCATACATCATACATTACATTCCTTGCATTTTATATTTCATGTTTGTTTATTTTATATTTTCCATGTTTTTACATTCATATTAACTAACAGAACATGTCTCAGACACCGAGCTTACCACCGCAAGCATCAGATACACATCACCCGCACAATACTCGAGCAAAAAAGAGACAAATGGAAGCCAGAATGGAGAAGATCGAAGAACACATGGCAAGACTTCAAAAGGAGCTAGAAGATAAGATGGCTCAGAACAGTGAAAGTACTCTTGAGTCCATCAAGAAAAATCAGGAGTCCTTGGTCGACCAAATCGTAGCCAAGTTGTCAGGTCTACAGCAAGCTAGTGCATCAGGGGGCATCTCTTCCGAGGGGGTGGCCATACCACCAACCCCGCAAGTGGTTCTCTCACCCGGAATATTATCCGGGGACGCATCTGCTACTAAAGGGAAAGCAGCACTACCCGGGGACTCATTTGCTACCAAAGCGAAAGTTGCACCTGCTGTGAAGATACAAGCTTCTACAATCATCCCTGATGATCATCCGGATGATTATAATGTCCCGGACTTTGACGAGGAAGATAAAGCCAAAAAGATGGAAGAAAAGATAAAAATATTAGAAGATCAAATAAAGATGGTCCAGGGAGACCATGATTACTATGGAGTGGACGCAATGGAGCTAAGCCTAGTTCCAGACTTGGTACTTCCACCAAAGTTTAAAATTCCTGAGTTTGAGAAGTTCGACGGGAACAGCTGCCCTTCAGCCCATATCACTATGTTCTGTCGAAAGATGACAGGATATGGAGGGAATGATCAACTCCTGATCCATTGTTTTCAGGAGAGCCTGTCCGGTTCAGCTATTCGGTGGTACAACCAGCTTAGCCGAACTCATATCAAGACGTGGAAAGACTTAGCCAAGTCTTTCCTGGAGCAGTATAAGCATATCAACGATATGAGACCAGACCGGGTCATGTTACAAAGCCTGGAGAAGAAACACAATGAGAGTTTCCGACAGTACGCACAGAGATGGAGGGATTTATCTGTGCAAGTTCATCCACCTTTGGATGAAAAGGAAACTAGAAAGCTGTTTATACAGACCCTGAGGGCACCTTACTTCGGGCATTTGGTAGCAATCACGTCGGGGAGTTTTTCAGATTTAGTCATGGCCGGCGAAATGATCGAGTTGGCCATTAAACAAGGAAAGATTGAGGGAGGAGACTCCAGTAAAAAGCCTCCCACGAAAAACAAGGAGCGAGAGATCAACAATGTAAACACCCACAGTGTCAGCAAGGGGGTTACGATCTCGAGCTTAAATTCCACAGCAGCTGTACCATCCGGTACTTCTAGACAGAACCAGAGAGAACCAAGAAGAGAAAGGGAAAGGGAACAGTTTGACCCCATTCCCATGACGTATAAAGAATTATACCAACAGCTCTTCGACACTCATGCAGTGTCGCCTTATCCTATGAATCCAATAAATCCCCCTTACCCGAAATGGTATGACGAGAGCGCTCACTGCGAATACCATGGTGGTGTGCAGGGGCATTCGATTGAAAGTTGTCTCGCATTCAAGAGACTTGTGCAACGGATGAGAAACAAGAATTGGATCACTTTCAACTCCGGAGCACCAAATGTCGCCCAGAATCCCTTGCCCAATCATCAGGAGACAGGAATCAATGCCGTTACTACCGAAGGGGGCAGGAAAGTTAAATTGAGTGTTTCAGAGGTTAAATCTCCTTTGGCTTGGGTATGGAGCCAAATGGTAAAGGCAGGATTTCTTGCACCATATTCAGATACGATAGAAAACGAAGATGGTAACCATTGTGGTTACCACAACAAAGAAGGGCATAAAGTGCAAGATTGCCCAGAGTTCAGATTGTTAGTCCAGCTCATGATGGATCGAAAGGAGTTGGAATTTTACGAAGAAATTCAAGATTCTTGGGAAGCAGATGTTTGTGCCACCGGAGAATCACCAGATAGAAAATTCGGTAGGGGTAGTCCTTTGATAATTACCCCTAAGGCAAGTATGACAGTGACAACACCAGCCAAGGTGGTAATCACCGCACCGTGACCTTTTCAATATAAGGACAATCGGCAAGTGCCATGGAAGTACGAATGTCAGGTGAGTACTTCCAGAGGAGGTAATAGTAAAGTGGGGCAAAGACCACTGGAGCCATTCAAAGAAGATGTGCTAGTCGTCAATGAACCTATAAAGGAGGAAGAAGCTAAAGAGTTCCTCAAGATCTTGAAGCACAGCGAGTACAACATTGTAGAACAGCTCCATAACTTACCTACACGTACTTCAATGCTAGCATTATTTTTAAGCTCGGAAGCACACCGAGAAGCGTTGTTGAATGTCCTTAATCAAACGTTCGTGCCACAAGACATACCAGTCAGCAAGATAGATCGACTGGTGAACAATATTCAAGCTGATAATCTCATCTCGTTTTCAGATGATGAGATTCCATCAGGAGGAAGAGGCCGAACGAAGGCGTTACACATTACTACCTACTGTAAAGGGCACGCTTTACCAAGTGTCTTAATCGATAATGGTTCAGCCTTGAACGTGATGCCTTTGATTACATTGAAAAGGCTACCAATAGATACCTCTCATATGAGAGCTTGTCAGAATGTGGTCCGAGCATTTGATGGGACCAAAAGAGAGGTAATCGGAAAGATTGAGGTACCATTGACCATCGGACCAGCCACCTATGATGTTGAGTTCCTTGTGATGGATATCATGCCGTCCTATAGCTGTCTTTTGGGAAGGCCGTGGATTCATCAAGCAGGTGCAGTACCCTCCACGTTGCACCAGAAAGTTAAATTTGTCATTGACGGGGCCTTGGTAACTATCAACGCTGAGGAAGATATCGTGGCAAGCGTGACCACAGAGGCTCCATACATCGAAGTAGACGAGGAAGCGGTAGAATGTTCGTTCCGCTCCTTGGAGTTCGTGAATGCCACATTCATGGCAGAAGGAAAAAGAATCCCAAGACCTCGACTCTCCAAATGCACAAGGATGGAGATCAAGCAAACCTTAGGCCGAGGCGCAAGAACCGGGAGAGGTTTTGGGAAATATTTGCAAGGAATGATCAACCCTGTCCGTCCTATCCCAAAATTAGACCAATTTGGGCTCGGTTTTCAGCCCGGTTATCATGAAAAGAGAAAGGAAATTCAAAAGAACCGGGAGAGAAGGTTAGCCAGATTGACTAGAAACGAACTCCAATGGAAGCCTATGACATTCCCGCCGCTCTTCAGAACATTCAAGTCAGGTGGTTATGTGGTTGAGACCACCATGTCCGAGTTACGAACGGCTCTGGAAGATCTGAACGTTAATGCCGTGACCACAGAAGATGTTGACAACGAAGATAGATCCAGGATATGCCCTCTGCCGCATGGATTCGTACCTAGCAGTTGGTCGGTGGAAGAACTACCTGTGGTTTACAAGAATCTTTCAGAGTAATATTCGAACTATCCCTATTTGCCTATACCCGGGGCAATAGGTGATCTTTTGTAAGGGTGAATAAATGTTTTGTTTAAGTTTAATAAAGGATGCATTTTTCTTTTCCATGGCAAGCAAAGTTTTCTTTTATTCATTATCTATCTCCTTCAGTATTCCATTTCCAGTTACTCTCAAAGTTAGTTCTTGACCATTACGTGTGGGATATTATCCTCTCACACATACACATCTTCCTCCTTTCAGGTTCCCAGATAACGATAATGTGGGCACTAATGACCTCGATCCGGAGGTGGATTTTGAATCAACCATTTGTCTTGGGGAATTTGAAGAATGCGATAATGAAGAAGAGTACAACTTACCTACCGAATTGTTGAGAATGATAGAAAAAGAAGAAAAGCAAATACTGCCGCATGAGGAGGCGATCGAAATCTTAAATCTGGGCACTGAGGAAGATCGAAAGGAGGTTAAAATCGGCACAACTCTTTCGACTGAAGCAAGAAAAAACCTGATAATCTTACTTCAGGAGTACGAAGATGTGTTTGCTTGGTCGTATCAAGACATGCCGGGACTAGACACAGATATGGTAGTTCACAAACTACCAATCAAACCAGAATTCAAACCAGTGCAGCAAAAACTGAGAAGAATGCGACCAGAAATGCTCCTTAAGATCAAGGAAGAAGTCAAGAAGCAATTTGATGCCGGTTTTCTCCAAGTGGCCAAATACCCTGAGTGGGTGGCCAACATAGTGCCTGTGCCGAAGAAGGACGGGAAAGTACGCATGTGTGTCGATTACCGGGACCTTAATAAGGCCAGTCCCAAGGATAACTTTCCTCTGCCACACATAGACACTCTGGTGGACAATACGGCTGGGAACGCCTACTTTTCATTCATGGATGGATTTTCGGGGTATAATCAGATCAAGATGCATCCCGAAGACATGGAGAAGACCACTTTCGTCACAATGTGGGGAACTTTCTGTTACAAAGTGATGCCTTTCGGATTAAAGAATGCTGGGGCAACATATCAGAGAGCTATGGTGACCCTGTTCCACGACATGATGCACAAAGAAATCGAGGTTTATGTCGACGACATGATTGTTAAGGCACAAACCGAGAATGAACATGTCAAGAATCTGAAGAAGCTCTTCCAGAGATTGAGAAAGTTCCAACTGAGACTAAACCCTAGCAAATGTACCTTCGGGGTAACATCTGGAAAACTATTAGGCTTTATAGTCAGCAGGAGAGGCATACAGGTCGATCCTGATAAGGTTAAGGCTATCCAGAATCTACATCCACCACGAACCCAAAAAGAAGTCCGAGGTTTTCTGGGCAGACTAAACTACATAGCTCGGTTCATCTCTCAGTTAACCGACAAATGTGACCCCATCTTTCGTCTCCTCCGAAAGAATAGCCCTGGAGCATGGGATAAAAATTGTCAGATTGCATTTGAGAAGGTAAAAGAGTACTTGTCTCACACTCCTGTCCTGATGTCCCCTATCCCAGGAAAACCTCTGTTTTTGTATCTCTCCATATTCGAGAACTCCATGGGGTGTGTTCTGGGTCAACACGACGAGTCTGGGAAGAAGGAAAGAGCCATCTACTACTTAAGCAAAAAGTTCACCGATTGCGAGGTCCGATATCCTCCTATTGAGAAGGTTTGTTGTGCCCTGATATGGGCTACAAAAAGACTTCGACAATACATGTTGTATCACACCACTTGGCTGATTTCCAAGTTAGACCCACTAAAATACATGATAGGTGTACCTGCTCTATCCGGAAGGTTAGCCCGATGGCAGATTCTTTTGTCTGAATTTGACATTGAATACGTGAGCCAAAAAGCGGTAAAAGGCAGCGCCATATCCGATTTTTTGGCAAGCAGAACTGATGAGAGCTATGAGCCGCTGGACTTTGATTTCCCAGACGAGGACTTAATGGCCATATCTTTAGAGGAAGCAAGCATTTCGACGGACGGTTCCTGGAGAATGCACTTCGATGGGGCATCAAATGCGCTAGGACATGGCATTGGGGCAATTCTAGTCTCCCCAGAAGGGAGTCACTACCCATTTACCAGCAGACTGAACTTTGATTGTACCAATAACATGGCAGAATATGAAGCCTGTGTCTTGGGAATTCGGGCTGCACTGGGGCAAAATATAAAGACTTTGCGGGTATATGGAGACTCAGCTTTAGTAATCTATCAGCTCCGAGGAGAGTGGGAAACCAAGGATATGAAGCTGTTAGAGTACCGAAAACTAGTGTTGGATCTGCTTGAAGAGTTCGACGAAGTCACCTTCCACTACGTGCCTAGAGAAGAAAATCAAATGGCTGACGCTTTAGCTACCTTGGCTGCCACATTCAAGGCTGGCGGGGAGTCTGAAATGATGCCAATTAACATGCAGTCGTATGAGTATCCAGCTCATTGCTACCAAATTGAAGAAGTGAAAGATACTAGGCCTTGGTACTACGACATTCTGCAGTATATCAAGCATCGGAGTTATCCAGAAAAAACCACTGAAATCGAGAAGAGAACCCTTAGAAGGTTGGCAGCTGGATATGTCCTTGACGGAGAGGTTTTATACAAGAAAAGCCATAACCAAGTTTTGTTAAGGTGCGTCGATGCTGAAGAGGCAAAAATGATAGTGGAAGAAGTACATGATGGGGTTTGTGGAGCACATGCAAATGGGCATATGATGTCAAGACAAATAATGAGATGCAGATATTTTTGGTCCACACTGGAAAGTGATTGCATCAACTATGCTAGGAGATGTCATAAATGTCAGATTTATGGAGACAAGATAAATGTTCCACCCTATCCACTTCATGTAATGACGTCACCATGGCCTTTTTCTGTGTGGGGCATGGACGTTATCGGGCAAATCCATCCAAAGGCTTCGAATGGTCACCGTTTCATTCTCGTAGCAATTGATTATTTCACGAAATGGGTAGAGGCTGCGTCATACGCCAGTGTCACTCAATCCACTATTTGCAAGTTTCTGAAGAAAGAAATTATATGTCGGTATGGTCTACCTGAAAGGATTATCACCGATAACGCAACAAACTTGAACAACAAGATGATGAGTGCTGCTTGCGAACAGTTCAACATAAAACATCACAATTCCACTGCTTACAGACCAAAGATGAACGGAGCAGTAGAAGCAGCAAACAAAAATATCAAGAAGATAGTGGAGAAAACAACTGAAACCTACAAAGACTGGCATGAGAAGTTGCCTTTTGCTTTGTTCGCTTATCGAACCTCGGTACGTACATCGACTGGGGCAACTCCATTTTCACTAGCCTACGGAATGGAAGCAGTGCTACCCATTGAAGTCGAGATTCCGTCTCTCAGGGTCTTGTCAGAAGTCAAACTAGATGATGCAGAGTGGGCACAATCCAGATATGATCAGCTTAATCTGATAGATGAAAAAAGACTGAAAGCCATTCATCATGGTCAAATCTATCAGAAACGAATGATCAGAGCACACGACAAAAAGGTGCGCCCGAGAATATTCCGTGTAAGGGATCTAGTGCTAAAAAGAATTTGGCCAGTCCAGAAAGATTTCCGAGGAAAATGGACGCCAAATTGGGAAGGTCCTTATGTCGTGAAAAAGGCTTTCTCCGGAGGAGCCCTTATCCTGGCTGAAATGGACGGACCTGAGCTGCCACATCCCATTAACTCGGACGCAGTCAAGAAATACTTCGCTTAGGATGAAAACCCGAGAGGGCGTCCTAAGTTGAAAAAAAAAAAAAAAAAAAAAAACGTTTAGGGTGAAAACCCGAAAGGGCGCCCTAAATCAAAAAAAAGAAAAAGAGGAAAAAGAAGAGAAAATAAGGTGGGTTCAAGATGAAAACCCGCAAAGGGCGTCTTGCAACTAAGGATGGGTCCAAGTTGAAAACCCGGAAAGGGCAATTTGGATATCAACGGTGGAAACATCCCGGCACATGAATCTTCTACGAACCCAACAAATCGGAGAAATGTCGCACCCTCCCAAACGTTGTCGCATTTTCAAAGATCCTTTGGCAAAGGCTGCATTCAAAATCACCAAACGGCTTTTCAACTCAGAAGTGCCCACGTTATCAAGATCTAAGACATTCATTTACACATCATTGTGTATTCGTTTTCTAGAATGTTTGCCATGTATTATTTGTCCTTCTCCTCCCTTATGAATAAAGACCATCTTTCCTCCAATTCCTTTTGAGCATCTTGAATTAGATTTAAACCTAATGATTTATTTATTTTTATGAAAGATAATCGCATATTACTGTACAAAGATTCATTGAAAAGTACAGGTACCCAGAAGTCGATCAAGGCTCATGCACATGCTTGAGATGGTTGAGGAGCATCTTCAAAAAAAAAAAAAAAAAAATCATCATCAAATATTTGAAGAATTCAAGATCAGAGATCGGAACTTCAAGCTTTCAAAGTCAAGAGTCAACAACGACAGGCCACCGGAAATCAAGATTTCTCTCCAGAGCCCGTAATAACATATGTTGCCCATACATTTTAGGCATACCTAAGAGCATGACATCCATACCATCGCATATATGCATATCTTTGCAGGTTTTACCCATAGCCAATTTCAACTTCACAACGAAGGATATTGGACTCCAGACAACGCAAGTTCAACTTCGCGTCGAAGGGACCGCTGGTTGTCAACAAACATTTCTCAAATTCAGAGCCAATTTCAACTTCACAACGAAGGATATTGGACTCCAGACAACGCAAGTTCAACTTCACGACGAAGGGACCGCTGGTTGTCACCAAACATTTCTCCAATTCAGAGCCAATTTCAACTTCACAACGAAGGATATTGGACTCCAGACAACGCAAGTTCAACTTCACGACGAAGGGACCGCTGGTTGTCAACAAACATTTCTCAAATTCAGAGCCAATTTCAACTTCACAGCGAAGGATATTGGTCTCCCGACAACGCAAGTTCAACTTCACGACGAAGGGACCGCTGGTTGTCAATAAACACCTCTCAATTTCAGAGCCAATTTCAACTTTGCAACGAAGGATATTGGACTCCAGACAACGCAAGTTCAACTTCACGACGAAGGGACCGCTGGTTGTCAACAAACATCTCAATGTCAGAGCCAATTTCAACTTCACAGCAAAGGATATTGGACTCAAGACAGCACAAGCTCGACTTCACAACGAAGGGACGACTGACTGTCAACGAATAATTTCTCAATTCCATAGCCATTTCCAACTTCACAAACAGATTGACTCAATTTCAAGACGAAGGAGTCATCTGCAAACACCGAAGCTTTCAGGTCAAGTTCCACCTTCACGACGAAGTATCTTGAGCCAGGAGACGATTCAGAGGCCAATTGTCAAAAAGCTTTGAGCTCGTTTTCAACTTCACGACGAGGGATTTCGTGCTCAGCATTTTTCAGTTTAAACTCAACCTCACGGAGAGGGAGTCATTTCGACAATTTCAACTTTACGACAGAAAATGTTCGATATAGACAAAATTTGTGTCTTTTAATCTTTGCTCTATTTTCGTTACACGATAATGAGCAAAGAGGGGCAGCTGAAGACACCAAATTTTTTAACATTATATAATATATTTACATTATAATATATATATATATATATATATATATATATATATTTTACATATGGTGCATGCATATTTACACACAAATATGTTACATTTGCAGGCCTGCTACACGAGGCCCAACTGTACACAACCCAAACGTAGGAGTCCAAACGTGTGGGGTTTTCAGAAACCCTAAACATATGCTCTCAAACCCTAGCCTCGTCAGCGCCGCTTCAGCTACCTTTTCACGCGGCCAACACCGAGTTTCACGGCAAGACTCCCATCACCGCACGTCTCGCCTTCAACGACCGGGACTCTCGGCCACGCAAAGAAATAAACAACAAACAACATCAGTGTTTTACTTTAATTTAAACTCTAAAAATAGCCATTGTTTTGGGCTATAAATATTATGTAAAGCACACAAGTTTAGGAGGAGATTACTGCGAATACACACAGAAAGTCACCATAGCAAGCACAAAGAAAGTCAGAACACTTGTACAACATTTCGAAACAAGAAATAAAAGCGAGGTATATTAGTTGTTTACCTTTTGGTTCGCTTGATCCTTTGCACGTCAAATTTATCGTCCATCGTGTTGTTTTGAAAAAAATCTTTTGGCCGATGAAAAGGTGTTTTCGTTCGAGATCGTTTTGTATAGATCTACGAAAACCCGAGGCCTATTTCAAAAAAAAGGTTTGAGATTTGAGTCAAAGGAGAGAAAGGCTTTCAGAAAAACCAATTTTTTATGGGTTTGCCGCCGATGATCGGTGGCCGGCGCCGACCAACGGCGGCCGGCGAGGCGGCGTGTGGCCATGTCTGGGATTTTACGGCGGCGTGTTCTTCATTTCTGAAGAACACGCATGAACAGATGAAGGAAACGAGAGAAAGAGAGGAGAGCTCTCGGGCGAGGAAGGGAGAAATGAAGAGAAAAAAAAGGTTTTTGGGCTTTATACATAGCCCGTGCGGTGACCCGCGCGTCAACCCGACCCGGGGAAGGATCCGCGTGTTTTGTTAAAAGGGGTAAACTTCATTTTGGCTCCCTCTGTTTTGAAAAACATTCAATTTGGTCCCCAAACCGGTTGGGTAAACTTCATTTTGGCTCCCTCTGTTTTAAAAAAACGTTTAATTTGGTCCCCAAATCGGTTTAATTCCCTTGGTTATATTCTGATTCTGCCATCTAACTTTATTTTGTTTCATTTTACCCCTTTATACTCATATATATTTTATTATATCTCGTATTTACTCTTTTATACATAGATATTTGGATTTTTTATTTATTTACACTATAATATATTATATTCCTATTAGTTTATATATATACATTACTTATTTTTCTTTTATTACATGCTATTTATTATATATATATTACTCATATTTGCTTTTTTTTATTTTCTTTGTTTTTATATTTTTTATGGATGTATATTTTTTACCTATCTATTTATATTTTTATATTTTTTTTTCTTTTCTATTAATACTTTTTGTTGAGTTTCACAAATTATTATATTCGTATATATTATTTTTAATTTAACTATTACTATTATCTTCTTTTTACTAATTTATATATATATATATTTACGTTATTATTATTATATATGTATACTTTTTTCTTCATTGATTATTTTTGCTTAATGTTATATTTTAATATATATGTATATATACATATATATATCTATGTATATACTTGTAATAGTTTATTTATATATCTATTATTATTATGTGTACATTTCAAACATTTTATTCGATTACCTTTTTCTTTACTTTGTTTTTATTTCTTTGATGATTATCTTTTTATTCATTGTAATTTATTTATTCGTTGGTTGTATGTAGATTATCAATGTTTCATTTATTTATTTTACTCTGCTTATTAACCCTTTTTTTCACTATTTTTATCTTCACTCTTGTTTCCCTTATTTTTCATTTTTTTATTTTCGTTCTTTAACGTCTGTATTGTTAAGGGAATTTCAATCAATCAAGGGTAAGTAGTTCAGATCGATGTTTTACCTTTTTAGTTTAACTTTCAATTATCTTAATTAAAGACAACTGGAAATTACATAGTACCGAAAGGGCAGTTCAAGGGTGCTAATCCTTCCTTGGCTGTAATCGACTCCCGAGCCCGACATATTTCCGGTAAGACGCAGATCAGGTAAGATGGTGTCCGACCCACCTAAAATTCGTTTTAAAGTGGTCGGTGGCGACTCCAATCCACATTTTTCAAGTCGAAGCCCAATTCCGGGGCCCAACCGAAAGACGGTTGCGACAGGGTGAAATTAACAAGATGCATCACGAAGGGAAAAGAGGAAGGAAAATTTAGGACTATAACCTCCTGAACCATAAATTGAAATCAACAAAAGATGCTAATCAAGTCTTAAAAAGATGTCAACCATCACATACTTTCAAGCAACCGGTCTCTTGATACGATACCCTTAGTTCCATGCATGTATTATGTGCAGTAGATACAGCAGGTTTACTAAATGTTTTCAGATTTAATCTATTCTCATGACCCGATTATGAGTTATGACAATTTCTCCTATGATTGAACGGTTAACAGTTTTTTTTACTGCATTTAAAAACTGCCCCAAAATATACAATGCCTGAACCCATACGCTTTATTCAGCAGTAAATCCTACATCTAAGCAAATCAAACAAGAAGTAATAGCACGAATCATGATAATGTAAATGAAACTATAAACTAGTCAGATTTCCCTTGAATCATGTACAACATTCGAAATTGTAGCCGATTTGTTGCAATGTTTCACTAAACTTTGGCAGAATGAATCTAACCATAAGAGCTACTCAAAGAAAACTCACTTTCCAGTTTTCAGACCAACTGTTAATACTGCTAACACTGATTTCCCAGCAAACAGCAACATAAATCCTATACAGAATCTTAAACCAATCCAATTGATCATAAAGAACACCTAAATCATAAACTCTTAAATTCCATTTCTTATAAAATAAAAGCAAATCAATCCAAATTTCAAGTAATTTCAACTAAAGCATGAAACTTCTCTCAAAACCAAAATCTCAATTCTCCAACTACTCCATACAAAAAAAGAACAAAATAAATCCAAAAAAATAATAATCAAGAAGCACAAACAGTTTACCATCTTGAGTAACCAAGAGGTAATCCAAAGCACTCAAAGTAATAAACCAATCCCAGCCACGATCAACCTTCATCAAAACAGAAGCAGCGTGCAACGTGGCAGCAATATGCGTAGAACCCATATAAGAAAACCGATCAGGCTTCCCTTTGACATCCACATTCCCAAAGCTCCTAATAGCGGGTACGGATTTCAAAGCCAGGGTCAACCTATACTTTTCCTCATCAGAAGCCTCTGCTCCAAGATGCAACAAATACCGATTCCTGGGATGATAGACAGCAAGCAGTAGCCTAAAGATCCGATCTTTATCACCTTTTCCACCAAATATATAGTACCCAAATGCCGGAGGACAATGAGGTCCGCGTTGGACAAGTGAAAAGAAAGGTCTAGGGGAGCTGAAAGCTGATATCGAGTAAAGTAAGAGGAGGAGAAGGGAGAGAAACGTTGTGGAGAAGAAAGTGAAAAACCATTTCTTTTCAGCTCCCATAGCAACAATGTTTCAAGCTATTTGAAACAATTGTAATTTTTTTTGGGTGCGTTTTGATTCAAAGATTGAATTTTGAGCATATGGGTTTACTGATTATCACAAAAGTAAAATTTGTGCTAGATTTTGGATTTCGAAGATGTTCTGGGAAATGGGCATTTGGGGATCTTTGCTTTCAGACGAATGAACATAAAATCTAGATCAGCACAGTGAATTCATGAACTCTATCTCTATGTGCAAGGTCAGTTGAAAATGATTAAAAACACTTATTTTTTTTCTTTTTGTTGTATATGTACAATTTTAAATTTCTTTTGTTTGTTTTGATGGTGAAATGAAATGTTGTGGAGTTGAAGGGTTAACTAGGGTTAGGGTTTACTTTATTCTTTTCTTCCGTTTGAGGTTAGATTTGGTTTCCGTGGAGAGAGCGAAAGAGAAAGAAGATTCAGAACTTCCATGTCATAATCTTTGCAATACTATGTAATAATCCTACATATATCATTGAATTACTAGTTTACTTCCATGGATGAATTAGTTTGATGTATAATCCATTTTTTAAGTTAACAATTGTTTAATCTTTATAAAATAAAATACGGAAGATATTTATATAATTTTTCTTCATTTTAGGTTAATCATCTGTAGAATAATTTTCATCGTGAAAGTTCTTTACCGTTTTTATATTATATCTTCTGTTTCTCTCTATTGTAATTTAATACACAAATGAGTTAGTTCTGTTAGACTGGTTATATAATGTGTATTATCAATGATTTCCACAAAAAGTGATAAGATAATATCTTGAGCAATTATATATTCGGGACTTGGCACGAATAAAGATGTTATAAATTTCATACAAATCACATCTCAATACATTTTTTTTTCAAATTCATGAGAATTTAAGTTATATAAGATAAAGATGCGTTTAAATAATCATAATTTACGAAAGACGTGTTTAAATGTTTATGTATGTTTGTTTCAATATAATTAATTTTTTAAAAATTATTTTACTCATTTTTTCAGTGTTTGATTAGCAAGAAATAAATTAGTCAATGTTAATTTTTTTCGGTTAATATTTTTATATTTTTTAAAAAATGACTTATGGTTTGATTTTTTCGTAAGTAATTTTTTTAACTTTTTTCTTTTAAAGCATAAATATTCAAAATAATATTATTTATGATCAAATATTGATATATTATTTCAGTATATTTTAATTAAAATATTATTTATTAAAATATTATTTATTATTATTATAAAAATAATATTATTAAATTATTAAATATTTAAAATATATTTATTTATAAGTTGAAAATATAACGTTATACTAATATTTTTATTTTAATAAATCATTAATATAAGTAATAATATATATTTTTATTAAATATAATATAAGATTCTTATTTTTAATATCATTTAACCTTCTTGAACTTATTCGTTTAACAATTCGCCGACTAAACACTCTATTTTAATCATTTTATTTACAAATCAAAGAAAAATGATGAAATTATATAACTAGTCCTTAAATTCCTTAGACTTCACAGTTTGAACTTCACAGTTCACCTTATTTTCAAATTAATCCCTATCTTCATCAATATTTAAGATGTAAAAAATAAAAATAAAAAAACTGAGTAAACGAACTTATGAACGGGTTTATTCATGAACCTAAATGAACCGAACATACCTCTATTCGCATTTATTTATTTATTTATTGAACATAAAAATTTTGTTCATACTCATTTATTTAATTTAATAAATAAATATTATAAAAACAGTTCACGAACAATTCGTGAAAGCTTTCTTCATTTATACCCCTAAGCGAACTCCATCCACCCATTTATTTAGTATACAACAATCACCTGTTTTCTTCTCTCTTACACCCCCCTACTTCCGTCAACTTCTTTTTCTTCCGAAAAGAATAATATCGAATGAATTTTCTCTCATTCATTTGAATGTACAAATATAAAAAATATCGTGTCAACTTTGGAAAACATCATAAGATTACATAATAAACTGGTTTCATTTATTTTATTTTAATGGTCATTGTTAATATTCTGAATTTGTAACTGTAATTTCACCTACAATTATATGTCGTCTTTCACCTGAGTACAAGAGATTTAGGAATATGCCTTGACGATGCCATCATGGGTCGGCTTTGTTAGAACAAGCAACAATAAAACCAATCTTTGAAGACAATGCAGAAAAATGATGATGACACAACATAGTCTTGAAATTAGGTACGCTCTGGATCGCCTGATTTTACAATAAGATCCAATCCAAAGTGTAAATCCAAAGAGCTTGCCCAATTGCCATATATGTACATCATCACTTTTCTTAATTTCCTCTAAAGTCTTCAATTTAAAGTGGGTTTCGTTTTGGTGCTCAAACAAAAGAAGACTTTCAACAAGTCGAGAGTAGCTAAGACAAGGCCAAAAGGCAACTATTCTTGAGAGCCTACCCAGTAACTAAACAATAGAATTCAGTCTCATCTTCTTTCACACGTTAAACAATATATAATAAGCAACAAATTACTCGTTAAATTAGAGTTGCTTATCACCAATTCAGCATGCGTCACGAATGCCATGTCAAAATAGCCAAGGGGTGTAAATGAACATTGCCTTCGACCAACTGTTCGTGAACAGTTTTGAGCTTCAAGTGATAACAAACGAATCGAAATTCAAATAGCCTAATGCTCGAGCTCACAAGCATATTTTAATCGGTATTGATTTTCAACATGAATTTAACTCAAGTTCAAACTAACGTATAGGAATCAAAATTACTCGGGATCATTCAAATCGAGCTCGAGCTTCTCAAGCTTGAATTCTGCAAGTACACTAATATTAATATAAGAATTATAATAACAATTGACATATATCATGCTCATAGCTCAACTGCTTGAGAATCCTAATATGCCTAAACTAAATCTTCCCTTACAATTTGCCTCCAAATGATATTGAAAAATACACAAGTCATCTCTTCTCATCATCAATCGAAAGATGCCAAAAAGTAATCCAAAACCAATACTAATTCATCAAATACTAAAAGGGGTCAGAATAATTTTTGTTCCACGGATTTCTACTTATTCTTGATTGTGATTCCAAGCTCACCTGCAACAATAACAGTAGTTGCCATGTCAAGAAACATACCGTGTTCAACAACACCAGCAATCCTCAATATAGCATCGCTTGCAATCTGCAAATCCCCCAACTCTTTCTTCAGATACAAATCCACGATATAATTCCCATTATCCGTGACGAATGGCTTCCCTTCGCAATCATTCCTCAGCTTGGCGACGCAACCCGAGCGTTCGAATAGGTTCTGGAGTTTATTTGCAGTGAATTTCCAGCAAAAAGGGACAACTTCGACGGGCAAAGCCAAACCGCTACCTCCCAAATGTTTAACCAATTTGGATTCATCAACGATACAGACAAATTTCTTGCAAGCTCCTTCCACCATTTTCTCTCTTAAAAGCGACCCGCCTCTCCCTTTGACGAGATTGAGATGCGGGTCGACTTCATCGGCGCCATCAATGGCTAAATCGATGGCGGGATGGCTGTCGAGATCTGAGAGCGGGATATCCAAAGAGAGAGCTTGTTCTTGGGTCTTCTTCGACGTGGGGATCCCGACGATGTTGGTGAGCTTGCCTTGACGGAGCAAGTCGCCTATACGATCCACGGCGTGTTTGGCGGTGGAACCGGTGCCGAGACCCAGAACCATACCCGATTCGACGAACTCGACGGCTTTGTAAGCGGCGATTTTTTTCAATTCGTCTTGGGTTAGGATGACGGTAGGGGACATAGGAGGAGACAAGGATAAAGCCTCCATTGAAGCAGGTTTCTTAGACCAAGCAATCGCCATTCTCTCAAGTGTTAATGGTTGATAAAGAATAACAGAATATTTTCTTAAGAAAAAATGGGATGATAAATCAAAGGCCAAAAATGAAGGAGAAATGGGGCAAAAGGAAGACTTAGATTGTGGTCGGGGGATCAAAATATTAGGAAGGGTAAGAGATAAGGGGAATGGGTTTGAGTGGTGAAGAGAAAGAGATAGGGTTTTGGGGCAAATTGAGAGAAAGGCGGGATGTTTGGTTGTATGGAAATTGAGGGAGGGAATTGTTTGGTTCTTATAGAAGAAAATTCCTGGAAAGGTCCAAAACTTCATATTTCAAAAATAAAGTTGTTTTTTTTTTAATTCGATTCTCCGCATAGCATATTCTATCAAAGCATGGATGGATTCGCAGGTTTTCTATTATGATCATTTCTCTGTGATTTTCAATATTTTTACCTTTTCTGCATAATATTCTCTATTCATCTTTTCTCTAATTTCGCATCCAGCCAAATCTCTAATCGTCATTTCCATTTTCATACGAGAGGGAGGGAAAAAAACAGAGTTATTCTTAGGGTAAAGTATATAAATGGTCACTAAACTTTTCAGGATCTTGCATTTAGGTCCCTAACTTTTAAAACTTGCAACACAGTCATCAAACATTTAGTTTGTTTGCAATGTGGTCCTTGATGTAACCGGCTGTTTCACTTCCATTAGAAGAAGATGATGTGGCACGTGAGGAAACCGTTTGCAGATACAAAAAATAGGGTAAAGTATATAAATGGTCACTAAACTTTTCAAGCGCATGCATTTTAACTTTTAAAACTTACAACACAATCATCAATTATAATCTAAACCCCAAATTCCAAAATACTTCAATTACATGCCCAACCCCAAATTCATAATCCATTCTTAAAATCTACCATATCAAACTAAACTTGAAACAATAACCCTAAACCCTCAAAACATAACCCTAAATGCTACATTTCCCCACCAATTAACCCAACATAATCAACAACAACAAAATCCCCAAACAAACCACCCAAATCACCCGCCCAGGCCTTTTTCCTCTCTCCATGGTTCTCATCTTCCTTAGCAAACCAACGATAACAATACGTGAATGTGGATTCAACGGGAGATCATACCAAACAAAGAAATTACAATTTCTCCTAGAACGCCCATAACTAACGCATCCAAAGAATCTCCTTCCAATATTCTTATTCGTCCAAGTTGTGTGTAAAATAATTGACATTCCACAAAAACAAGTTAGGATTGAATTTGAGGTTTAGAATGTAATTGAAGTATTTTTGGAATTTGGAGTTTAGTATGTAATTGATGATTGTGTTGTAAGTTTTAAAAGTTGGGGACCTAAATGCAAGTGCCTGAAAAGTTTAGTGATCATTTATATACTTTACCCTAATTTTTATAGTTGCAAACAATTTCATCACGTGCCACATCATCATCTTCTAACAACAGTGAAACGGTCGGTTACATCGGGGATCACATTGCAAATGAATTAAATATTTGATGACTGTGTTGTAAGTTTTAAAATTTGAGGGACTTAAATGTAAGCACCTAAAAATTTCAATGACCATTTATATATTTTACCCTTATTCTTACAGGGTAAAGCAATTTAATTAGTTGGACAAAATTGCTTAAAATGTAATCTCCTTGAAATGAAAACAAATATAATAATAAGATAGTGGCAACGTTGGGGTATTTGCTTCTTTTTTTTTGGCAAATGATCACTAATGTTTGAGTAAATTTTAATTTTCTCTATTGAAATTTCAAAACTAATGATTTAGTTACTAACATTATCAATTTATAACAAATCGATCACTCAATATTACATATGTTAAGGTGGGTGATGAAAACTTACATGATGGTTAACCGTTTATTTGACAATGTCAATCGCCACGCAGGAAACTTAATCCCTATTGACTAGTCTTTTTGTTTATTTTCCCTCTTGACTAGTCAACTCTAAGTAAAAGTGAAAATCTTCAATACTTAAACCCTACTTTATAAACTTGTCATGGTTTTGTTTCCTTCTAAGCACTTCCTCCACAATCCTCTCAGCATCTTCCATTGAAGCTTCAACGTTACCTTAAACTTTCACTAAGAACTGCCTCAGCTGCTCCACCATCATGTAAGAATCTCTCCCAACGACGTACACCATGAAAACATCCTTCACATCAGTCGGAGGTCCTATCTCATTGATCCTGATTTTTTTAGGGAAACAAATACACGTATTATAATCTCCCATGTAACCCATGCAAAAAACTAACCTTGAGAAACCCAATTAAACAATTCCTAAATATGATTTGGGCGATGTTGATTGAAGTGAAGAAACATAAGGAAATGTATGTCAATAACACTTCCAGTAGTTTGGGTGACTTCTCAATTATCGAAATGATGGTGTTTAGTTAGGATAGAAGGCTCTTTAGTTCTAGGCTTATTCATTGTTGGGTTAGTCTGATTTTTATGCATTTCAGCATTATGATTGCGGCCAAACAAGATAAGCTCGCTTCGATTAATCTTGGGTTCTTCTATTTCCTTAGAGATTTCACAAATTCAGGGATTAACCTCTCTTTTCAAGCTATTTCGAGCTTGGATTCTCTATCCACCGTTACGGACTCCAGTAATCAAACCGTTTGAATTTGGGAATATGAATTCCCTCTTTGTAGAAATAGAAAAATCATCATCAAGCAATTCATTTCCAACAATGACTTCTTATTAGAAATGTTACTTTACATCAAATCAAAAATCTTAAAAACTTTTTCGACTATTTTGATGTTGAATCCCTCATGAAAACGAACACTTTGTTGAGAAACTAGTCAATTCTCGCGAGGAATCCATGATTTCTTTTGCGAAGTGAAGAATCTTCGTTAACGATGAAAAGCGACCTGATTTTGAGAATGATAACTGTTAATGTTTCCATGCAAGCGGTTAACAATCGGGTAAGCTTTCCGTCACTCAACTTAACGGATGTTAACATTGAATGATCGATTTGTTATAAATTAATAACATTAATGATCAATTCGTTAGTTTTGAAACTTCAATGAAAAAAAAAAACTTATTCAAATATTGATAGTCATTTGTGTATTTACCTTTTTCGTCTAATCCGATTCTCTGCATAGCATGGATTGATTCGTAGGTTTTCATTGTAATTATTACTTTAATTTATTTTTCTATATTATTTTGCGATCTCAATATTTTTTACTTTTTTTGCGCCATCTTCTCTTTTGTATAATTTCTTAAAAATTTTAATCGTAGCAAATTTCTAATTTTTATTTTTCATTTTCATATGGGAGAAATATATATATATATATATATAAAGAGTTATTACAGAGGAAAACTCTCCTTCAACTTGGCTGGGTAGCATAAGCATCATTGGGAACTCAATCGGTCCCCTAACGAATAACGCAACTTTTTTTTTTTCAACATTCAATGGCCCAAACATTAATTTTTCATTTTCAAAGATTCTTCCGACTTCATAATCTCTTTAGATAAAGTTGATGACGGTGCATTTAGATGTTTAAAATGCGAAATAAATAATAAATATGATAAAAGAAAAAAAATACAAACAATTTTATTAATGAAGAAGATGGTTATGAATTTATTGACCCAACACATATATTCATGTGAACTATCACATCAATATATTTAATTATTATATCGACATTGATTCATTATAGAAAATCATTAATTTAAATTTACTACAAAGGTAAAAATACCCTTTAAGCTCATATGTGTATATATATATATATATATAGAATGAATCTAAGTTTTATTTTTTTTACCTTCAATTAATTTGTATTTATTTTTTTTAATGTTAATTTCATTCAAAATCGAATAGATTTATATTTATTTAGTTAGACTAATTTAATAGGTTGAATTTGATTTTCTCAATCAACAACAAAAGGACTATAAATTCAACTTGGAACATAGAACTTAGACCTAAACTTGAACTTTGAATTGAAGGCGTCTAAGACTAGGAATAAAGATGAAAAATAACGAAACTAGACTTTGACCCGTAAGAAAGAAGGGCAAATCTTCCTCTTAGGTATGAATACAGAATTTTATATTCAGAGGGTTAATATATAAAACTTTAAAGAAATTATTTTTTAAAAAAAAATTTAGGAGACATAAATAAATTATTAATAAAAAATATATAAAAAAATCTAAAATATAGAAGAAGTTGAAAATTTTAAGTGGGAGCTGTCTCCGCACACCACTCGCTCCATCCTTATATCCTATCACGTGATAAGCATGTGGTTTTACTTTTATTTTGTATTTTATAACTTTTTCATTTATGTATATATGTATGTTTCCAATACAAATATACAAAATGATCCCAGCCGAGTTACAAGTGTATTATCTCCAAAACCCACCACGGCAGTGCCAAAATTGCTACAGGGAGATGCTGCGTTGATATAGTTGATAGTTTTCCCTTCATTCACAAAAAAAAAATGATGAAATGATTTTATTGGTCATTAAATTTTTAAAATTTATGAAATTGTCATTAAACTTTTGGTTCATTTATAAAATAATCACTATGCCATTAGAGGGAATGTCGCAACATGTTAAATTATCATAGATAATGTCTTATTTTATACAATCAAACGGGTTAAAACAATAACCGAAGGGCTTACCGATTCAGTCTGTGTCGAATACAAGTGTATACAACATTGATGGATTCATCTCTATATAAATCTATCCATATTTCTGGAAAAAATCATATCTCCAGCAAAGTAAGGGAATTAACCCAACTGAGACCAGCAATATTACATATATAACAAGACCATGAAATAAATAGAGATTACCCACCCAACTTAAAATGGAGCTTTGCCCCACTTTAGTTCCTTTCCAATATGGGGAATCGCAAGAAAAATGAAGTACATTCAACCTATTAATTTCTTGCTATAATTTAGACACCATTGTTGTAGCTTACAATATGGTATTGTTGTTGTTTGATCTGCAAATGTTTTTCCAGATCATACATTTTATCGGCAACAATCACTTTACAGATGCCTCTTCCCTTCGGAGGTGATCGACATAGAATATCCAGAGAACTCGGCAGAGTAAGACTCCGACCGAGATTAACTCCAGTCCTGCATTTACTATCTTAAGGTAATGCTCCAATGGACGACAGTAATTTGAGGCAATGTTCCGAAACGTATCCCTAACGAAATCGCAATTTTGCAGGCAAAGTAAGAGTGGTGTGTAGTGCTCAAGAGCGTGGCTCTCGTTAACTGCTGCCACCAGCTGTGTGAATCTGTCGGGGGTTATCGTCCCGTGGTGGTGCGTAGCCCAGAT